ATGACATATAAGGTTCGGTTTGTGTGATTTATGGGATGCATCAGTCAGAGATAATGACTTGTCCTCTCTCAGAGAGATGTCCACTCCCCAGAGAGCCAGACACTCACATCTGTGGCACAGAAAGGCCACATTAACTGTCCCAGGTGTCCTGGTTAATGGCTCAGGCCGTCTCTATGTCATTAGTCACTGAGCTTCATTTATTGGCACCTCCCATTACTAAAACTTTCAGCTTTGAGAGTGATAAAACCAGCTTATTCTGTCACGTTTTGTCTATATAATGATATTTATCAACTCAATAGCTGCTGTGTTTTATTGCATGTTCTCAATTCTGAATCCTTTATAAAGAGACAGTAATGTATAACATCTTCAGTTCTGTATTAGGTTTGATGGATCAAAACAGATATTAATTAAATGTATTGACATATTGAATATGGTCTTTGGGGATGTGTGAAACCTCTGCATGTGGTGGGATCTTAAATACATTATGGACGAGCAGGACGAGCTGGACTTTCTGCACTAATTGGGCACTAATCTCTCTTGTGTCTCTACAATTAGCAGATGCTTTTTGTCCAAAGCAGTATAAAGTGTTCTCCTCCAGAGAAATCCAAGGTTAAGTGCCTCGCCCAACGGCCCTATCTGTCCATCTGTCTGTAGAATTTGATGTCAGTTATAGATGTTAATTGAAATGTTGAGGAACCTCGACTGTGTGCTCTCTTATTATCATCCTATTTTCTGCAACATATTTTTTAAAGAAAAAATATATATATTCAAGAAAGGAAAAAAAACGACAAATACAGTAATATTTCTTAATAACTTGCTATTGTAGAACACTGGAAACATGACTAAATTAGATCCTTTCAAACCCAAATTTGGTGAAATGTTTTATCCTTTGTGGAAAAGAAGTGTGCTTAATTGTGTTGAATGTGCTCTTTTAATGTACCTATCATGTTTTAAAAGTACATTAAAAAATACTTGCAAATATAAAATTAATGAAAACATCTCTTTAAGTTCACTATAGTGGCCTTTTATTTCATTAAATACACTATAGGTGCACTTTTTATACTGCACTTTGTAATAATGTCAAAAACGTTTTAAAGTACATTTTAAATCATTATGTTTTAATGATCTTGTCACAAATCAAGCCTCTGTGGCTCCCTCCGATCACCACCAGAGGGCTCCGTCACCTGAGTACTGACCATTCTCCGGACTTCAATTCCCACAACGCTGTGTGTGGGACTGATTACCTGCACACCTGCACCTCATTCCCGGGACTTATTTAAGCAGCTCTCAATCTCTCACTCATTGTGGAGTCTTGTTTTGCTGTGGCTAACATTTCATTTTACTGCAATCCTTCCGTCTCCCTTCGTCTGACACGAGCACACTGCCTCCTAATCCTTTACCGACTACTTCCACATCAACCTCCGCCACGGCCAGTCCTCGCCTGGCTTTTCCTGAGAAATTCGATGGCTCTCCTAAGTGCAGAGTCCATTCGTCTATTCCTCGTTCAGTTACCTCAGAACCCTGTGATTCTTGGACTTCCCTGGCTACAAATGCATGATCCACAAATTTCATGGACTGAGAAACAGATAATCCAGTGGTTCGACTGCTGTCTCCAACAGTGTGTTCAAACTATTCCCCAAAAACTGCACGTTGGCGCTGTTCTATTGGAACCCTCTTCCATTCCCAGTCTCCCACCAGAATATAACGACCTGACCGAGGCTTTCAGTAAGAATAAGGCTTCTCAACTTCCACCTCATCGCTCTAGTGACTGCGCCATTGATCTCCTACCCAGCACAACACCTCCTAAGGGCAGAGTCTTTCCATTATCACAACTGGAATCAGAACCCATGAAATCTTACATTGAAGAGGAGCTGGCTAAGGGTTTCATCCGACCTTCTACCTCTCCGGCTTCTGCCGGGTTTTTCTTCATATGCAATGTCCTTGCATCGAGTTCCATTACCCGTTTTCTCTGGTTCCAGCAGCCCTTGAACAGCTCCGCACCGCCAAGTATTTCACCAAGCTCAACCTCCGCAGTGCATACAATCTCATTCGAATCCGTGAGGGTGACAAATGGAAAATGGCATTCTCCACCACATCAAGGCACTATGAATACTTGGTTATGCCGTTCGGGCTGGTTAGTAGTTCTTCAGTCTTCCAAGCCTTCATCAACGACGTGTTCCGAGACTTGCTAAATCGATGGGTCATAGTTTATATTGCATTATATTCCTTTGATGCTCATGTCCAACATGTAAGATCTGTACTGCAACGTCTGATATCACATCAATTGTACGCCAAAGCAAAGTGTGAATTTCATCAGCCTGCTGTCTCCTTCCTCGGCTACATCATCAGCTCAGAGGGAGTCGCTGTGGATTCAGGCAGTACTGAAGTGGCCTCAGCCCTCCTCAATCAAGGAACTACAGGGGTTCGCTAAATTCTACAGACGCTTTATCAAGAATTTCAGCACTATTGCAGCAAGGGTGGGGGTGGGGGGGGAGGCACGCAACACTTATCCTGGTCTCCGGCAGCCTTAAAGGCCTTTCAACATCTGAAGGAACGATTCATTCATTCAACAGGTCATTCAATGGGTCCACTCTTCCCCCAGCTCCGGCCATCCCGGTATCGCAGACACCATCCAATTTCTTTCCAGTTGCTTCTGGTGGCCCACTTTACAATCAGATACTATCACCTTCATTCATGACTGCCCTACCTGTAATATCTCTAAATCTTCCCGACAACTAACTGCTGGACTGCTACAACCATTACCGGTCCCACAACGCCCTTGGTCACACATTGCCATAGATTTCGTCACTGACCTTCCTAATTCCATGGGTCACATTACCATTACCATTTCACGGGTGATTGAACTCTACCTATTAGTTTTTGAGTACTTATTAATAAAGCTGCACAGGGATCCCAACTCTGACTCATTGTTACTTATCTGTTGTCATGCTTTAAAGAAGTGCACATTTTAACCCTTTAACTGTCACCCGTCCCCTCTGTGGGACGCCTAAGTTTACTTCACTATATTAAAATTAAATCCTAATCTAATCATGACAAACTATATATCGTTGGAAAGTTCTAAGACTCCTAAATAGATATTTTACCAATGTTTTTGTTAAAAATTATGTAGGAAAAGTAATAGATTAATTTATGACAAGAGTGCACCTCAAAAATCTACATCATAACAGGAGTTCTGACCTTTGTCAAAAAAAGTCTTCTTTGTTGCCTTTTTCTCTATCACACTTTAGAAATCATCAGAAATGATATATTAATTGAAAGCTTTAAATCTCAAAATTCATCCCTTGAAACCCATTTTAAAATCAAACATTGCATTACCATGAAAATGGTACATCAATATCATGTTACAAAATGTTTTCGTTCATGAATTATACAAATTTAAGTTTGGATCGTGCACTTTCACGTCTTAAAAAATGTTAAAAAATGTGAGTGACAGTTAAAGGGTTAAACTGTTGAGTAATATACTAAAGCACATGTAAAAGACTTTATTAGAATTATAGTGTTATTCAATATTACATGTATAGTTTATATTTATATTAAATGTAGTAAAATGCATCTTTATTTGAAATGTGTAATTACAAATATACTTAAATACATGACATACAATTTTCAATAGAAATGACATAAAAGTAGATTTTAATTTACTATAAATGCTCGTCTGTATTCAGTTCTACACTCATTACACTTAGTATCCATATTTCAAAGACAATATAATTAAATCTCAAATTACATATAAAATGTACTTAAGTCCTACTCAAGTGGGTCAAAAATGTACAGTATTTAATAAACATTTAAACAATAATACATTTTCATTTAAATTGAATTAACATGTAATTAAGGGTCCAAAAATGTTACATTCAGTTCACACTTCAGTATATTCTTTTAAATGGATATTTCTGTAATAAGCACTCTTTTTAAATTCTTTTTAAGTCTATTATCTTTAACATTGCGAAGTTAGCGTTTTTATATTAATGAAGACATGTATGATGAAGGTATAAAAATGCATTGCGTATAGTATGAAAGACTACCGGTGAACTGTATACTATAAGAGGTGGTACCTGTGATAGTATTTGAAATGTTTTAAGTGTGTGTATATCATAAGCTCTGTGTGACCTGTGTGTGCCGTCTGATCTTTGATTCAGAAATATTGATTTAATCCAGCGTAATCCTTTCTGATCTGCAGTCAGAGCTGATTAAAGAGATTACGGACGACACTCCAAACTCTTCCTCTGGAACTGCTTTTCTTATTTGTGCTCAGATGAGTCCATCGTTCTGGGCTGCAACTCTAAAGCTAAACTAGATTTTAGGTGGCTATGGCAAGAAATTTCATTGGATGTTTAGGCACGAAAGAGAAAAACCTTGAGAGCAAGCAGACTCAGCTGGGGGACGAGGTTTATGGTGTTTTTCATGTGTGTAATAATGTGTGCCGTTGCTCAAAGCTCATGTTAGTGATGTCTCTTATAGCTTTTACATCACTGAGCAAATGTGTGTGTGTGTGTGTGTGTGTGTTCGTGCGTGTTTGCGTATATTATTCATATATGACCAACTCTTTTACCCATAAGAAATGTTTTTTCACAATCCATTTACCTCCACGTTCTGAAATGAAATGGGATATCCAACCAAAAAATAGGACAGGACTTGATTTGATCCATCAGGAGTTGATTGGATCATAAGAAATGTTTCTGTATAGCAAGTGATTAGCAGAGAAGGGCTGAAAAAGTAACATTTGTCAAGCAAGAAAAAAAGGAAAGCTTTGCTGAAAGTCTGCGAAGACAAACATTTTTTGGAATAACTGATTTGGAATTACTGATGAAGCTTGCACGAAAAGACCAGGAGTACGTACCTAGTAATTGGGGTCAAATTTAGTTTCATGTTAACATTATTTTTTTTAATGTATTTTAAGTAATTTATTAATTTCTTGGTTTCTTTTCAGTGTCTTTGTGCCACGTCTCGTATGTGACTGGAGTGTTTGTATCTTTCAGAATTATCGTCAGTGTATGGCTGGTCTGCTGGTCCCTCCCTATGGTGTTATGGAGAGCGGCCCAAATGCTGACAGTAAGTACAAACACTTGGCTTTGTTCACCCAACAATGATAATTCTGCTGTAATTTTTTGTTCCACACATGTGCGACTTTCATTCTTCTGTGGAGCACAGAAGATAAGTTTTGACGAATTTCTGAACTCTTCCCCCCCCCCCATAAAACTAAAGCATATTGTGTTGAAGGTCTGTAAAAATTCAAGCAAAAATCAGATTGAAAGTATCATATACAGTAACGTATGTGCTTGTTAAATGTCCTCTGAAGTCATACAATAGCTTTTTGTGAGAACAATACCAAAACATACACCAAAAGTTTGGTGTCGGTAAGATTTTCTCATGTTTTCATGTCTCTTATTCTCACCAAAGCTGCATTTATTTATTATCAAAAAATACAGAAAAAAACGGTAATATTGTGAAATATTATTCCAATTTAAATAACTGTTTTGTATTTGAATATATCTTAAAATGTAATTTATTCCTGTGTTCAAAGCTACATTATCAGCATCATTACTCCAGTCTTCAGATCTTTCAGAAATTATAATAATATGCTAATTTGCTGCTCAAGAAACATTTCTGATCACTATCAATGTTGAAAACAGTTGTGCTGCTTAAGATTTTTGTTGATAAATTTTTTTTTTCAGGATTCTTTGATGAATGGAAAGTTCAAAAGAACAGCATTTATTTGAAATAGAAATCTTTTGCAACATTATACGTGTCTTTACAGTCACATTAATCAATTTAATGCATGCTTTGCTTAATAAAACTCTCAATTTATATAAAATAAAAAACTTACTGACCCTGAAGTTTTGACCAGTAGCATCTTTCATTCCCTTCTGCTGTAACTCTTATTCTTCGTTTGTGCTTCTGCATAATCAAGCTTGGCACATTGCGATCCGCTCTTGATAAGAAGAGGGTTTTATTTTTATTTTTTGCTGATAAGGTGCTGAATAAAATCATTTTAAGTGAACTAGCATGTTTTAAACTTTTAAAACGGTTCTTTTTGTCTGAGATTTCTATGCTGATGTGTGTAGTTCAGTAGGTGTCGGATGTTCTCAATGTATATAAATAGTGATGTGCTGGAGTTATTGTTCCTGAAGGAGAAAGCTTTTGTAGTGTGTGCAATGCTCCCCACAGCCCCTCAGGACCCATCACTGAAGATTACACACATCCTGCAGCCCCATGAAGACTTTACACACTATATTTAATCTTCTTTCTTAACTATCACTTCTGCTGAATCTGTATCTTCGATACATTTTACTCTTGCCTTGACTAAATGATGCTGCTCAATATTTATCTTTTGTATTTATCACAAATTTTTTTTTGTTGTATTTGTTCACAAGGAATGCCTGACAAAGACAATCTGAGCAACAGTTCTCCCGGATCATCATCCAAACACTTAAATAAGGTTTGTTTTAATCTTATGTCTCTTTCATCTCTTCAGTCAGGCCACATGTTCACTCTTCTGTCCAAAATCGTGACCATCTGAGGTCAGTATCTGTCATGAAAAGTCTGTCATCCTCATTTACTCACCCTCATGTCTTGAGTGCTGTTGAGCTCCAGAAAGCACAATAAAAGGACAATAAAATATCTTCAAAATATGGGAAACACTTAAAGGGATAGTTCACCCAAAAATGAAAATGTGATGTTTATCTGCTTACCCCCAGGGCATCCACAGTGTGAAGTGTGTCTAGTAATAATCACTGTGGAGTTTGATTGTGGGACATGTGTTGCTGTAGATGTACAGTCTGGTTGAGGATGGTCATGAATAATGTAAACGGTTTGGTTAAAAATGCAGCACACTGGCCCTGGACCAGCGGCAGGAGGGAATGCAGAGCCCCAGACGTGCCTGCTGCCCGAAGCGCTGAGAAACACTGCAGTATGACACGATCACATGCATTATTATGTAATATGAGAAGAGAGTAGCTGGACATCAGCAGAATTCTACACAAGCTGCTCGTGATTACATTTGTTCTGATATTAATGCTAGTGGGTTTGTTATGACAAATTTTCACTTTCAAAGGAGTAATCAAAGCATGTGTGCAACCAATATTTACTTGCCAAAATTTTGTGGCACGTGAAAGAAACAGTAATTAAATGAATATATTAATGAAATCATAAAGGTATAAAGGTTCAAGTAAATGAATGAATGGATGAATTAATGATCAAACAAACGAATGAATTATCAAACGAATTAATGATTGATTGCATGAATGAATGAAAGTGTGAAAATAGAAATTAAGGGTAAACATGGAGATTATTTATTTGTCTTTTCCCCATGCTGTAGAAAATGTGCAAATGTTGCTTTCCAAGTATCACAATTTGATGTCATGTTTAATTTTTTTAAATAGAGGGTGACATTTAATTATTGAATCTCCTGCACTAAACTATCATTCAAAGCTAGTGGAGTCCTGATATTGTAAATTATTTATAGAAAGGTCATGCCTCAGCAAATGAGATGTTATAATATTGCTCACTATGCATTTTACCTTATATATGGAGTCAGTCTGGCTGAATATTTCACAGAAAGCAGTCATTTATTATTGAAAAGTTTTACAGTTTACTCTGTCACCCAGCAGCAATATACAGTAAAACTCTCTGCCAATATTTCACTGTGTTGTATAAAGGTTAACAAAAGACTAAAGAATAAACCTAAAGGTCCCACATCCACCTCATCCTCATCCTTTTTCATGAATGTTTTCCAGAAATCATTCATTCAGAGTCCCACCAAACTTCACCCCGAATCCATTACTCGGGTATTACAGCCATCCTGTTATCAGTCTGACAGCTGTCAGTCACAGTGTTGAGTTGTGTGACATTATACATTATGTGTTATGTATAGAGTGGTAGAGACAAGGAACTACCAGTGTCCAGCAAAGCTTTCAGAGAATGTCCGTTAACAGAAATGTCCAAAACCATTTGACTAGTTTGTCCCTCCCCACCAAAGTCAGTGACCTTGTCTTCCTCTCTAGGGGCATAACAAAATCCAGTCAATTTGGACTTCCTTACAGGGCACACTGAAGCCTTGTGCCCTGGCTGCTGACATGAAAAACAAATGAGCCGTTGACCAGTTGTAATTTTAAGCCCTTGTGTACCTGCTGTAATCTCTTGGGGTTGGTGGCTCAGTTCAGACCCATGACCACTAGCATGTTGGGTGTAACGTGCTTTACCTTTAGGGGGTTGAGAACGTGGAACAGTTCCATGAGCGTTCATGTACTGCTGGGCCAACTTGGCGGCTTCCAGTCCTGATGTTGGCTCGTGCTCCTTCACCCAGGTTCGGCTATCGAACGGGAACACTCGAAGCAACTGTTCCAAGATCAGTGTGCACCCGCTCGCTGATGGCTAAACAGCAGGGTTAGGAATGAGGTAAGAGTGTATGTATATGTATTTAAATATGTGTGCCAGTACTGCCGTTTCCAACGCTGAAGATCAACTCTTCACACAGTGCAACAGTGAAAAGGGACCCCTTTCAAACTGTGTCGCGTTCCAAACGTTGTTTAAGCGACATACACCGGTATTGCGGTATTTAAAAAATTAATATCATAACAAAAATAAACACCGGTATTCGGTATGAACCGGTATACTGCCCAGCACTATGTGCTGTATTCATTATTATATCATTTTCTTATAAATTATTTATACAATTTATTGTATTCTTATCTTTTATAGTTAATTATTTTATTTTAAGTCATTAAAGACTGATCCCTGTGTTGAGTGGTTCAATGGATTACCTGTATTCTGTGTGTGTGTGTGTGTGTGTGTGTGTAGGCAGTGCTGTATGGGCATGGAGCTCGTTGATTGGCTGATGCAGCACACTTCCTGTGTTCACTCTCGTGTTCAGGCTGTAGGGATGTGGCAGGTGCTGCTGGAGGAGGGAGTCCTAAACCACGGTGAGTGTGCCATACTCATACACTAACAGTCAAAAGTGTTTTTTTTTATATACTTTTATTCAGCAAGGACACATTAAGCTAATTAGGCTAATCAAAAGTTACAGATAAGACACTGATAATGTTACGAAAAAAATCTATTTCAATGTTGTTCTTTTGAATTTTCTTTTTTCAAAGAATCAGGGTTTCCACAAAAAAAATAAAAAATGATGCAGCACAACTGTTTTCAACATTGATAATAATCAGAAATGTTTCTTGAGCAGCAAATCAGCATATTAGAATGATTTCTGAAGGATCATGTGACACTGAAGACTGGAGTAATGATGCTGAAAATTCAGCTTTGATTATAGGAATAAATTACATACATTTACTATGAGGGATGTAGCGATTTTAAAACAAGCCTCAAATCAAATAAATAAGTAACACAAATAAAATAAATCTCTTCATATAAACAAACTAAGGCTTTGTCTGTGCTCTTTCCATTTAAAATTAGAGGCAATCATTTCCAAACAATGATATAATTATGTTTAATAATCATTAAACATAATAATAATAATCATTATCCAAACAAAGATGCTGCATACATGCAACATGAGCAGTTTTTAATCTAAATTAGATTGTATAATTTCGAAATTTGAAGCAAAAACAATGGTTTGACTTCAGTTTTGTTTAATTATGCATAAAAAATATCTGCATGAAACAGAAACAGCAGACGAGCTGAATGAGACGCAGATTCACTCTCTGCCAGCAGGTGGCGCTTAAAGCGTTTCCTTGGTTTCCGCTGCAAAAACAAAGCAGCGCTGCACTTACTTTAATATGCATTATACAGAGGCAAGATGAAAAGAAAAAATACCATCTAAACTTTTCTAAAGACAGTAAGTTCCCCGCAGACATGGATTCATATAAACTCCTAACCCTAGATGAATCGTGATTTGTTTAGCATCTCAACCGATTTGAATAGTCACATATTTGAATCGATTTTCAACCGGCTCGCGGTTAATCGTTACATCCCTATTTACTATATATTCAAATTGCAAACAGTTTTTTTTTAATTGAAATAATATTTTACAGTATTATTGTTTTTACTGTATTTTAAATCAAATAAATGCAGTCTTGGTGAGCATAATTTTTTATGTTATTTCAAAAACATAAAAAAAAAAATCTTACTAAGCTCAAGGGTAGTGTACATGGTTAATCACCCATTACATGCAGGCCAGTCATTGATTAATGCAGTAAATCACAGAACAATTATTGAACTTAAAACAATATTGAACTAAATAATTAACTGAATAATGACACCATTGCCTTCTGTAGAGCTGCTTTACAGTTGAAATTGAAGTATTTTCGTAATTGATGAATTTTACAACATTGCTATTTTCCTTTTTATTCATGTGAAGCTGCTTTGAAACAATCCGTATTGTATAAAGCGCTATATAAATACTTGTGACTTTACAGCATAACACATGAGCACAGTTTGTGGGAGCTCTTAATTAAGATCTATAATGCAGATGATAATTTCTCCTTACACTCTTAGAAAAAGGGGACACAAGCTGTCACCGGGGCGGTACCTTTCAAAGGGTACAACTACAACTGTGCATATTAGTATCATAAAGGTACATATTTGTACCTTTTGAAAAGGTTCCACCCCAGTGACAGCTTTTGTCCCCTTTTTCTCAGAGAGTGTAGAATGAGCCACACAAGAGCTCAAGAGTTCACACTACAGATGTTGGTCTTCATTACCAGTTTGTTCTGTGTGTCTCCGGTTCTGTGTTTCGCTGCAGTGGACCAGGAGCTGAGTTTCCAAGATAAGTATCTGTTTTATCGCTTCCTGGACGATGAGACCGAGGACGCACCCCTCCCCACTGAGGAGGAGAAGAAAGAGAGTGATGAAGAACTACAGGACACCCTCCTGCTCCTCTCTCAGATCGGACCTGACGCCCATCTGCGAATGATCCTGAGTAAACAGTAGGTTCTCCCTCAGAAGCAGCAGCCTGTTACGTCCCCCAGAAGACTCTGGGTTATTAAGAGAAGTGCCTCCAAGTGATCTGATCTGTATCTGCTACTGTTTGGCTGCTTTCCTATGAACTTTCCCACAATTCTGATTGTCTGAAAGTCTCTAAAGGCAGATTAGACTTTTATATGCATGCTGTAACTGAAAGAGAGACCTTTTAAAGGTCCTGGAGGATGTAATGTCTGCACCAGGACAAAACTTTTTAAAATGTCAGAATAAGTTTCAGAGTCATCATTGACATCAGTGTCCTCTCTGCCTGTCACTGCAGGCCTGGCCAGAGGACAGTAGATGACCTGGAGATCATTTATGAGGAGCTGCTGCATATTAAAGCCTTGTCACATCTGTCCACCACTGTAAGTACACATTATATGAAGTTTGAGGAAATTAGTTTGGTGTACACACATTTCAGTAAAAGAACGATTGAGACAAATTGAAAATTCGGTAACACTTTATTTTAAGGTGTCCTTGTTACACATGTTACATGTACTTACTATTATAATAACAATTAATTATACATTATTACATGCAAGTAAACCTAAGCCAAACCCTAATCCTAACCCTAACCAGATAGTAAATACATGTAGTTAATTAATATTACTCAGTACTTAAATATATTATTACACTGTAACAAGGACAACTTAAAATAAAGTGTAACCGAAAATTCTGTGCAACATAAAGGCAGAACTTTTGCAGAATGTTCAAGCTTCTGTTTCTCATGAAATGAAAGTGAATGGGAAGCGATGCTGTTTATCTTCATAAAACGAGTCCTTACCACCCATACCCTTTTGAAAAAGAAGTGTGCTTAATTGTATTGCATGTGCTCTTGTAGTGTACTTCAAATCTTAAAACTGTACTTCCAGATAATAAATGAATGAGATAAAAGGCCGCTTAAGTGTACTTAAAGTAAGTACAGTTTTATGACTTTGTTTCTTAAAAAGTTCACTTTGTAATGATGTCAAATTTGTACTTTAAAGTACATAATGTTTTAATAGTTAAAGTACATAATGTTTAATCGTGTCATGGTTTAAAGAACAGGCTTATTTTGATGTGTTAACTAACATAGTAAAGCTCATGTAAAGTACTTGATTATATATATGTACATGATATATATAACTGTCAATATTACATTTAAAATTTGTATATTTTTATATGTACTAACTGCAACTTCACCTTTTCAAATGTGTAATTACAAATGTATTTAAATACATGACATACTATGCTATCTCATTAACATAGTTTGCCATAAATGCTTGTCAGTACATTCAGCAGTACTTTAACCATATTTCAAAGACAAGAGAAGTCCTACTTAAGTGGGGCAAAAAGACTTTAAAGTTCAGCTAATTGCATTCAATATTTTAAACTGTAATATATTTTCATTTAGTTACAATTAGCATGCAATTAAGTGTCCGAAAACATTGCATTCAGTTTGGCCGCATATTCTTTTAAAGTATATTATTTCCATAATAAGTACACTTCTCAAAGGTGTACTGTAATAGTGCGATTTTTGCACTAGTATACACAAGTGTGCACTATATTCACCATACAGTAGCTTGTGTGAAGAAACAGACAAAAATATAAGTCATTATTCCCTGAAAAGGGTTTGACTTCCACAGTGAGAACAAAAAGTGTCATTTAACACCTTTGGTGATGTAAGATTTTCAGTAAATACCAAATTTTGGTCTGTTTTTCACACTTATTGTGTTCCGCAGAGAAAGGAAACAGGTTATATGGGTTTGGAATCACATACATGTGTATAAAAAACGACAGAACTATTCCATTAATGCCTGAATAAATGGAAGCTGAGCTTGATTATGTGTGTATTGTTTAAAAAAAATTATCTGCTTCTAGTAATTTCATAATTACATGGTGACATTAGTTTCATCACTAGAATAGACTCTGTTGTGTTTTCTCCTCAGGTGAAGAGGGAACTTGCTGGTGTTCTGATATTTGAGTCCCACGCCAAAGCAGGCACAGTGTGTAAGTGTCAAAATCATTATACCACACTAAACAGCTTTAAATGAGTGCTGAATTTCAGTGTGTGATTATTATTTGTCTAAAGCAGTACTTTAACCATATTTCAAAGACAAGAGAAGTCCTACTTAAGTGGGGCAAAAAGACTTTAAAGTTCAGCTAATTGCATTCAATATTTTAAACTGTAATATATTTTCATTTAGTTACAATTAGCATGCAATTAAGTGTCCGAAAACATTGCATTCAGTTTGGCCGCATATTCTTTTAAAGTATATTATTTCCATAATAAGTACACTTCTCAAAGGTGTACTGTAATAGTGCGATTTTTGCACTAGTATACACAAGTGTGCACTATATTCACCATACAGTAGCTTGTGTGAAGAAACAGACAAAAATATAAGTCATTATTCCCTGAAAAGGGTTTGACTTCCACAGTGAGAACAAAAAGTGTCATTTAACACCTTTGGTGATGTAAGATTTTCAGTAAATACCAAATTTTGGTCTGTTTTTCACACTTATTGTGTTCCGCAGAGAAAGGAAACAGGTTATATGGGTTTGGAATCACATACATGTGTATAAAAAACGACAGAACTATTCCATTAATGCCTGAATAAATGGAAGCTGAGCTTGATTATGTGTGTATTGTTTAAAAAAAATTATCTGCTTCTAGTAATTTCATAATTACATGGTGACATTAGTTTCATCACTAGAATAGACTCTGTTGTGTTTTCTCCTCAGGTGAAGAGGGAACTTGCTGGTGTTCTGATATTTGAGTCCCACGCCAAAGCAGGCACAGTGTGTAAGTGTCAAAATCATTATACCACACTAAACAGCTTTAAATGAGTGCTGAATTTCAGTGTGTGATTATTATTTGTCTAATATGTGTCTGTGTTCTGCACAGAGTTTGATGTTCATTATCGATCTCTTTTGTTCCTAGTGTTTAATCAAGGGGAGGAGGGCACATCATGGTACATCATCCTGAAGGGCTCCATTAACGTGGTGATCTATGGAAAGGTCAGACTAGTAATTCCCTAATAATGCTCCACATTCAGCAGACTAATTAAGCGTTTCATGTGTGATAATGCAGACCAGCTAATCACTCACAAGCCAATTCTAGTACATGCAGACTGTGCCAGGAAAGTGTGTGTGTGTGCAAATTGTATTACAGCTGGAATATGTTTTCATAACTGTCTGTGCTCTTTGCTGGTTTGTCTGGCAGACGGCAGCAGGCTGTTTAGATGTCATGTCTCGTTTCAGGGTGTAGTTTGCACGTTACATGAGGGAGATGACTTCGGGAAGCTGGCTCTGGTCAATGACGCACCTCGGGCAGCGTCTATCGTACTGAGAGAGGACAACTGCCACTTTCTGAGAGTGGATAAAGAAGACTTCAACAGAATCCTCAGGGTCAGGGGTCATTATTCACAACAAAACAAATGCCCTACACTTAGAAAAGTGCTTTGTCAGATACCCTAAACTTCAAAAAGTGCTAACCTGCAATTGTTGCCATATAAATTTTGTTTTGTTGGTGCAATATTTAAGTTCATTCAGTCATTCTAAATAATATTGTGGACTGTAAATTAAATTAAATTAAATTAAATAATGTGCTTAATTTAGATGTTGTTAGATCTAAATTAAGTAGTTTTATTTAAGATATATAACAGATTTATAATGTAATGCCATGGTACACAGATGCATACACTACCAGTTATGCTGAAATGTTTAAAATTAATTCATAGACAAATCTAAATGGTACCAGTGTTAGTAGTATGATTTACATACTATTATAGTATATATTGATATTTAGCTTTTATTTTTAGATTTTCAGTCTTTATTTTAATATTAGTTTAAGTTTAAGTCATTTTGAAATGTGCTTTGTAAATTTTTTTAATAGTTTTATTTAGCTTTAATTTATTTTATTTCAGTTTTAGTTTTAATTTCAGTTATTTCAGTGCTTCAACCTATTTTATTCCAGGTAGTTGCCAAAACAACATTTCTAATTGTTGTTTAAGTTTTTTAAGTTTTAAGAAGTTTTTCCATGTAATATTTATATTTTATTTCAGCTTTATTTACCAAAAATGATTTTAAATGTATTACATTTAGTTAACAATAACAACTTGAATCTACCATTGGTATTTTAGTATAATTTATACTTTTTTATATTTTTGTTAATATTTTGACTGCTTTTATTTTATATCTTTTGTTTTGACTTTAATTTTATAGTTTTAGTAATTTTGTTGTGCATTGATTTTATGTTTTAAGTTTTAGTTTTAGCAAACAATAATAACGTCACTAGGTTACAAATGTAACCCTAGTTCCCCGAGGGAACGAGACGCTGCGTCGAAACGCTTTGGGAACGCGTTTGCGTGACCACGCTCTGAAACACATGTGCAATCAGTCCAACGGAATCGTGTGACGTAGCGACCAGGAAGTATAAAAGCACATGCGGTGGAGACAGCGGCAGCTTCTGGATTGAGAAGGAAGCGCTCGCAGGGATGCAGGAAGTATGGCAATGAGACACAGCGTCTCGTTCCCTCGGGGAACTAGGGTTACATACGTAACCTAGTGACGTTCCCCTTCAGGAACTCAAGCTGCGTCAAAATGATTTGGGAACGAGTATGCCCACGTCCCCAGAATGACCAATCCCTGCCTAGTGTGGATCGACACAGCTAGGTCGAGAGGACTGAGGAGCCAGGAGTGGCATGAAGGTCAAGGCTATAGAACCTGACGAAGGTCAGAGGGGTGGACCATCCCACAGCGTCACAAATGTTGTGCATAGAAACACTGGACGAGAAGGCCTTGGAGGCCGCCATACCTCTAGTGGAATGAGCCCTGACCCCCAATGGAGAGGGGAGTCAAGACAAGATGGGGCCACTGAAAGGTCCTGAAGGTCACTGACTCTTTTCGAGGAAGAGATGGCTATCAGAAATGCAGTCTTGATAGTGAGAAACCTCAATGAAACCTCTTCCAGGGGTTCAAAAGGAGCTTTAGAAAGGGCCTCTAGAACCACAGTCAAATCCCAAGAAGGCATTCTAGGGTGTACCGGAGTTCCTCCCCAAAGACTGCTCGCCCAGAGGGTCCCAGATGGTAAGCAGCAATAGCAGCCACGTAAACTTTCAAAGTGGAGGGGGATAACCCTGTGGCAAACGGATCTTGTACAAATTCCAGCACTGGGCCAACAGGGCAGTTAACTGGGTCTAACTGACGGTTGTCACACCATGAAGTGAAGAGATGCCACTTAGCATTATACGATTTCCTCGTGGAGGGAGCTCTGGACTGGAGTATGGTCTCCACTACCTCAGTAGAGAGACCGGAAGCTAAGAGTTGTGCCCCTTCAGGGGCCACACCCTCAGTTTCCACAACTCCGGACAGTGGTGAAAGATAGTGCGCCCCGCCTGAGAGAGGAGATCCCGACAGACGGGAATCTCCCATGGAGAATCTTCAGGTAGGGCTACCAGGTCCACAAACCATGGCTGGCCCGGCCAGTACGGGGCTACTAACAGGAGATGAACCCCATCCCGGCGAACTCTCTCCAGAACTCTCGGGAGCAGAGCAATCGGGGGGAAGGCGTACAGACGAAGCCTCAGCCACGTCTGTACCATGGCATCCAGCCCAAACAGCCTAGCCGTGTGACCTTGATCATACAAAACGGGTTGCCCCTCGGGGCAGTCCTGAGCCACCACTGCAAGGGTCTCATGTACAACAGGCCAAAAGGTATCACGTTGGACACAGCTGCCATCAGACCCAACAGTCTCTGAAACTGTATGACAGTGATTGACTGGCCTTCTCTCACTCTCTTGACTGCTGTGAGGATCGACTCGATCCAAGCAGGAGACAGACGTGCCTGCATCATGGTTGAATCCCACACCACACCTAGATAAGTGGTCCTCTGTACTGGAGAAAGCACACTTTTCTTTGCGTTTAGTCTTAACCCCAACCGTTTCATGTGAGCAAGAATGACATATCAATGCCAAACCGCTATCTGCTCTGATTGAACTAGTATCAACCAATCATCGATGTAATTCAGTATGCGGATGCCCTGGAGTCGCAGTGGAGCCAGAGCAGCATCCACACACTTCGTGAAAGTGCGGGGTGAGAGTGATAGACCGAACGGAAGAACTCGATATTGGTATGCCTCGCCCCCGAAAGCAAACCTCAGGAACTTCCTGTGTTGAGGAAG